CAACTACTCCCAGTTTGGATTCCGGCGGGGATTCCTGATCCAACAATGGGCTCCGACGCATACACGATGTTCACGTGTGACCCCGCAGAATGGGCGACGCAGGGACGGTGAATTGCGCCTTATTTAGATTCTGGTGATGGTAGACGTGTACAGCATTTACCGTACACTCTCCTCCTCATCCACAGGAGCTCAGTGTCACGACGACGTCAAGAAGACCGGAGGCGGACGAGGGAGCAAGTACCTGCTGCGGTAGGAAACCGCACCTACGCGTGCCCCCCCCCGCCCCATCTGCGGCATTTGTTTTGGATACGCATCCCCAATAACAACCCTGTCGTCCTCTGAGCTGGCCATCGCATTGGTCCGCCGTATCTAGGGCGTAGCCCGTGTAGTGGACCAAATAAGCAAAGACTTATAACGAATCAGTTAGGAGACATTCCTAAAAGGAGTGCCAAGAATGAAGACCGAAACAGAATTTATCAAACCAGATATAATGAAGTAGTGAATACAAGCGGGCAATTGACTTTGTTTCACTTTGTAGTTATTTATCAAAGGACGTTATTGATCAAAACCAAGACATAAAAGGCGAAAGAAGAATATCCAGAAATATGCTTGGTTACATAGGAGGATACAGAAGCTACAAGATGTGCTTGTTCTCGTTTAATCGGAAATCCTTAATTGCCTCCCTCCGATAGATGAACATTTCGTAGGACCGTAGATATATTTGCAAAGCGAGTCTTAGTTACCTGAAAACTGCGATAGTTTTCAGTTATATGTGATGAAACGTACATTCCCCGGTTTCATTTTTTAAACATGAATACATTTTAGGATAACCCCTCAACTACTGTTTTGGTTGTGATACTAGAACAATCTCAGCGCCGGCACCTCATTCTCATTAACTATTTCTCAAGAATAAAATATTCAGGGGTCTGCCGCCATGGCTTCAAAAGGAACGAATGATTTTCTGGCAAAATCCTAAATAACTAAAAAGGCTAGATTTATAGCATCATGTGAGGTAAAGAAATAGTTTTTTTACAATTTGAAAGAAACAAAGAACAATGGGGATACGTATTTAAGAAACTCATTTCTGCCAAACGTGCAAACTGAAGGCCCTATTACTTAAACACTATAATAAAACATCTAATTGTGCACTTTCTTGATTAGGAACGGCTTCAAGTGAAAAAAGCGCGTCACCCTATGACTACTGGCATCATAATACAAAAAGGGTCCTGATATTCGAGACTCATCCTTTTTTTACTTAGCATAGTTTAAGAGATTTGCGAGTTTATTTTGCACTTTATGTTGCTGCAAGTGTTAAGGTGTTGGTAATACCCGCGTAAGCAAATTGGACGACCTGACTAGAAACATCCCACCACCAGATGGAAGGTTTGGAAAATGGGTTATGCCTGCCAACCGGAGTAAATTGGCGTCAGGTCGTTCACCTCAAACATATTCTTCAAGGAAGGGTTTCCTTCGGTTTTAAAAAAGTTTCTAAATTGCCGAATAATTTTGAAACCTACCGACTGCTAGAAATGAATTCAAGTTTAACAAACTGAATGCCGTGTTCATCCTATTTAAGAAAAAGTACGTTCTTGCCTACGGTTTGAGGAAACGGTTGCATAGCTCTAATAGAATTTCGCAATAGACATGGATCATGCTGTATATATCAGGGGCAGCATTAATAAATTGACGGATACGATGTATTATGAACGAACACCACACAGTCGTAAAAAAGTCAAAATCAGATTTTTTTAAACAGAAGGAATACCTTTCCTTAAGAATAAAATTTAAAGAAGGCATAATTTCCTATCAAATAATTACAAGAGAGGTTTTTTCATGCATGCTTTCCACAAAATATATTTAAATTTAAAGGCAGTCAAAATCAATGATGAAAATGCGTACTATTTAAGCAGCCATTTTTTAGAGAATCAACTTTTTCTCAGCGCTCAGAAAGAAACTTATCACAGAGTCGGCATCCTGGCGTGACTGAAAACAATTGAAATTGGACTGCATGATAAACAGTATTGCGACCCTACCCAACGTTGGTTTGCGAGTGATTACCGGTCTTTTTCAAATTGCTGAATGTTTCTTGCAGCACTCGCATACTGCACTTCGGTTTTAGTTTTGTTTTTAATTTATTGTTGAGGTTTACTAGTTTTGTTATAGTTTTAGATTTCCTTTTAGTGTACCTAGTTAAGTTTATTGTATATTGCTTTTGCTTAGTTAGTTTGGTTAGGTTTTAGTTTACTTTTTTAGTTATAGATTTATTACCCTCATAGGATTATTTTTTGAGTTACAATCTCTACTTTTTACTTTAACCTTATTAAATTTACTGTATTAGTGTAGTATATGGTTCATTAGTATGTTTAATGACTTTTATTTAACTTTTAGATTACTGTTTTATAAAGCGAGTTTACCTTACCTTATTTTACCTTTTGGGCTGTCTATGCGGATCGCTTGCAATAAAACATTCACATCTTCAGTAGCCCGACTTTCCAGGTGTTTTCCATTTCTTGTCACCGTTTTTAGTTTAGTTTAGTTCTGGGTTTATTTTGTTCTAGTGTACTTAGTTTCCAATATTTGCGTAGGTGCACATTTTAACTATGGCGCTATTTGTTGTTGACAATCACTTCTTTATTTAAATAATTATGCCTGTTCTTTCTACGTTTATAAAATTTATTTTTAATTTACATTTCCTTTCCCCTGTATTGCCAACACTGTATAACATTTATTATACTTGGTCCCGTATTACACGAGGATGGGCTTTTCGTGTGCTGATCTGGGAGGAAAACTTAACATCTTCTCATCCATAAATCCTCAAATTTAAGTGCTATAAAGGCCTATTTTAATCTGAGCGACTTCCACGGAGACTGCAAAGTACAAAGCAGATAATAGTGACGATCATCGGAAGAATACACAATGTTTTTTTCATTTTTTAAAACTACGAAGCATAATTTATTTTCGCGTTTCTCAGTCGATGGTTCGTCAGCTAGTGCACTTTACCAATCTGCCCGTGTGTATGGCAAGCTTTGGGTGAGTGGATGTGCAATGTTGTTGTCTTGCCTGTTATAGGCTGTTCACACAGATAAATTTTGTCCTTATTACCAGTCACATGCTGCACATTTTCAAACTTGCGATTGCTTACGTAAAGCCCTTTGGGGATTCTTGAGGGCCGTAAGAATATGCAAATTTGAAAAAAAGAAATATGCAGACTCAACGAGCGCGTCGGGACGGGTTTGGACTCTGCCACCTTAACCTTAGTTACTTTGGCGAACATATTATCGTAAGAGCGCTCCCTGGCTACCCATAAGTTAACAAATGTGCTGCTAGTGTAAACTGAGGGACAGAGCAGAACTTGTGAAGCAGGATGAAGTAAAGGTAATGTCACGAGGCCAATTGCTTGTGATAAGGAACCTCCTTCTGGAACTTTAGTTACTTACTACAGTCGGCCTTAGATAACAATGTGGTTTCTCCCTGTTGAACTCCGTCACTCACTAGCCATCCAACCAAACTGAGATGCCTCGATTTTAAGTTCTTTTAAATGGCTGTTGCTAGATTCTAGTACATCGGGGTAGGTGGTTTTGTCATGACATTCCAAGGGTTAATGTCAGTGGAGTGGCAGAGTATTAGACAGAGCCGTGTTCGTGCGACAGATAACTGTAATCGGTGGTTAAGATAACCGAACAAGGAGGAGAGGCATGCTCCCCCTATAGCACATCGGTCGAACGGAACGATAGCCTCTACGATCCTGGTGAACATTTGACAAAAGAATGAAGTAGATTAGATTAAGCGAGCTCCGCGCCGTACCTGGGATGTTAGTATGGTATGTTACAACATCAATATATAATACTACAGTCTACCCGTTGACAGCATGAGCATATTACGCAGTGGTCGACAGGTCTCAGCCCAAATATACAACTAAATTTCGATCTAAGCCTATAGAACTTAAATATACTAATGTATACCGCGAACAGAAAGTAATTTTATAAGGGAATTAAAAAGTTGAGCAGATGGTATTATTGAGAGAGGAGAAAGAGCAAGAGAAGGAGGGGCACCATGGATTTAAGTAGGTAGATCAGTTGGCAGAAATACGTAGTATATAGCAGTGTATCAAGAAAATATCCCAGAATGTGCAAAACTGCCGCGGCCCCTAAACTGTCTATGACCGCATTGTTATGGTTAGTACACCACTTTCTATCAAATCGGCAAGAAGGAGCCTTCGACCTGAGAAGACCAGGCAGACTTTAACGCTCCCTGTACTGAGCTCATAGAATATATTCTGCATATAAACAAGGAATATGATAAAGTTATCGAAAAATCATCTCTCAAAACTGTGCTTAAAATATTCCAGCCAATCTCTGGAGGAACTCAAACAAGAAAAAGGGGATCACGACTACCAGGTAAAAGGAGGTTGTAGCTTCTTTAGTCGCGTGAAAAGCGTCCAGGAACTCGGCTGCTTAAATTACTCACGAACATGACATAACATTTATGGATATGAACCACATTTTATTTTCTTGTTTTTTTATCGGTACGATTATGGACGCAGAGGCAAATTTAGTCCCCAAAGTAAAAACATTTCCATTTTCTTTCCTAGTATGATTAAGGTCAAACTGGGTGGGAACCAGGAGCATACCGAAACATGAGATATCTGCACAGATCAAACGTGTAAAAGAGAGGGCAGAAATTAATCAGAAATGGTAAAATCAAGTGGAAAATAATTCCGTATCCATGCGTAAATTGGATCCGGTACTCTCTGCATACATAAATCAGTAAGGCGAGTTAAAAATAACCGAAATCGGTACTTACCACTACCAGATTGACCAGTGATATGGCGTTCAAGGAGATACCCCACA